GGTGAGGATATATGTTGATGGGTGATGATAGCAGTCGATCGGTGAGGAGGGATGTTGATGGGTGAGGATAGATGTTGATGAGTGAGGATAGATGTCGATGGGTGAGGATAGATGTTGATGGGTGATGATAGCAGTCGATCGGTGAGGAGGGATGTTGATGGGTGAGGATAGATGTTGATGGGTGAGGATAGATGTTAATGGGTGAGGGTGGATGTTGATGGGTGAGGATAGATGTTGATGGGTGATGATGGATGTTAATGGGTGAGGATGGATGTTGATGGGTGAGGATAGATGTTGATGGGTGATGATAGCAGTTGATGGGTGAGGATAGATGTTGATGGGTGAGGAGGGATGTTAATGGGTGAGGATGGATGTTGATGGGTGAGGATAGATGTTGATGGGTGAGGATGGATGTTAATGGGTGAGGATGGATGTTGATGGGTGAGGATAGATGTTGATGGGTGATGATAGCAGTTGATGGGTGAAGATAGATGTTAATGGGTGAGGATAGATGTTAATGGATGAGGATAGGGATGTTGATGGGTGAGGATAGATTTCTATGGGTGAGGATAGGTGTTGATGGGTGAGGATAGATGTTAGTGGGTGAGGATATATGTTGATGGGTGAGGATAGATGTCGATGGGTGAGGATAGATGTTGATGGGTGATGATAGCAGTCGATCGGTGAGGAGGGATGTTGATGGGTGAGGATAGATGTTGATGGGTGAGGATAGATGTTAATGGGTGAGGATGGATGTTGATGGGTGAGGATAGATGTTGATGGGTGATGATGGATGTTAATGGGTGAGGATGGATGTTGATGGGTGAGGATAGATGTTGATGGGTGATGATAGCAGTTGATGGGTGAGGATAGATGTTGATGGGTGAGGAGGGATGTTGATGGAAGAGGATAGATGTTGATGGGTGAGGATGGATGTTGATGGGTGAGTAGGGATGTTGATGGGTGGGGAGGGATTTCTATGAGTGAGGATATATGTTGATGGATGAGGATAGATGTTGATGGGTGAGGATAGATGTTAATGGGCGATGACAGATTTCTATGGGTGAGGAGAGATGTTGATGGGTGAGGACAGATGTTGATGGGTGAGGATAGATGTTGATGGGTGAGGATAGATGTTGATGGGTGAGGATAGATGTTAATGGGCGATGACAGATTTCTATGGGTGAGGAGAGATGTTGATGGGTGAGGAGAGATGTTGATGGGTGAGGATAGATGTTGATGGGTGAGGATAGATGTTGATGGGTGAGGATGGATGTTGATGGGTGAGGACAGATGTTGATGGGTGAGGATAGATGTTGATGGGTGATGATAGCAGTTGATGGGTGAGGATAGATGTTAATGGGTGAGGATAGATGTTAATGGGTGGGGATATATGTTGATGGGTGAGGATGGATGTTGATGGGTGAGGACAGATGTTGATGGGTGAGTAGGGATGTTGATGGGTGAGGATAGATGTTGATGGGTGATGATAGCAGTTGATGGGTGAGGATAGATGTTAATGGGTGAGGATAGATGTTAATGGGTGGGGATATATGTTGATGGGTGAGGATGGATGTTGATGGGTGAGGACAGATGTTGATGGGTGAGTAGGGATGTTGATGGGTAAGGATATATGTTGATGGGTGAGGATGGATGTTAATGGGTGAGGATAGATGCTGATGGGTGAGGAGGGATGTTGATGGGTGAGGATATATGTTGATGGGTGAGGAGGGATGTTGATGGGTGAGGACAGATGTTGATGGGTGAGTAGGGATGTTGATGGGTAAGGATATATGTTGATGGGTGAGGATGGATGTTAATGGGTGAGGATAGATGCTGATGGGTGAGGAGGGATGTTGATGGGTGAGGATATATGTTGATGGGTGAGGAGGGATGTTGATGGGTTAGGATATATGTTGATGGGTGAGGATAGATGTTGATGGGTGAGGATAGATGTTAATGGGCAAGGATAGATTTCTATGGGTGAGGAGAGATGTTGATGGGTGAGGATAGATATTGATGGGGGAGGATAGATGTCGATGGGTGAGGAGGGATGTCGATGGGTGAGGAGGGATGTCGATGGGTGAGGTTGGATGTTAATGAATGAGGATGGATGTTGATGGGTGAGGATAGATAAGGATGGGTGAGGAGGGATGTTAATGGGTGAGGATAGATGTTAATGGGCGAGGATAGATGTTGATGGGTGAGGAGGCATGTTAATGGGTGGGGATATATGTTGATGGGTGAGGATGGATGTTGATGGGTGAGGACAGATGTTGATGGGTGAGGACAGATGTTGATTGGTGAGGAGGGATTTCTATGGGTGAGGATAGATGTTAATGGGCGAGGATGGATTTCTATTGGTGAGCATAGATGTTGATGGGTGAGTACGGATGTTGATGGGTGAGGAGGGATGTTAATGGGTGAGGATGGATTTCTATTGGTGAGCATAGATGTTGATGGGTGAGTAGGGATGTTGATGGGTGAGGAGGGATTTCTATGGGTGAGGATATATGTTGATGGGTGAGGATAGATGTTAATGGATGAGGAGGGATTTCTATTGGTGAGCATAGATGTTGATGGGTGAGGATGGATGTTAATGGGTGAGGATGGATGTTGATGGGTGAGGATAGATGTTGATGGCTGATGATAGCAGTTGATGGGTGAGGATAGATGTTGATGGGTGAGGAGGGATGTTGATGGGTGAGGATAGATGTTGATGGGTGAGGATAGATGTTAATGGGTGAGGATAGATGTTAATGGGCGAGGATAGATGTTGATGGGTGAGGATAGATGTCTATGGGTGAGTAGGGATGTTGATGGGTGAGGAGGGATTTCTATGGGTGAGGATATATGTTGATGGGTGAGGATAGATGTTAATGGGCGAGGACAGATTTCTATTGGTGAGGATAGATGATAATGGGTGAGGATAGATGTTGATGGGTGAGGATGGATGTTGATGGGTGAGGACAGATGTTGATGGGTGAGGATAGATGTTGATGGGTGAGGAGGGATGTTGATGGGTGAGGAAGGATTTCTATGGGTGAGGATATATGTTGATGGGTGAGGATAGATGTTGATGGGTGAGGATAGATGTTGATGGGTGAGGATAGATGTTGATGGGTGAGGAGGGATGTTGATGGGTGAGGAAGGATTTCTATGGGTGAGGATATATGTTGATGGGTGAGGATAGATGTTGATGGGTGAGGATAGATGTTGATGGGTGAGGATAGATGTTAATGGGCGAGGACAGATTTCTATGGGTAAGGATAGATGTTGATGGGCAAGGATAGATTTCTATGGGTGAGGAGAGATGTTGATGGGTGAGGAGGGATGTTGATGGGTGAGGATAGATGTTGATGGGTGAGGATAGATGTTAATGGGTGAGGATAGATGTTAATGGGCGATGACAGATTTCTATGGGTAAGGATAGATGTTGATGGGCAAGGATAGATTTCTATGGGTGAGGAGAGATGTTGATGGGTGAGGAGAGTTGTTGATGGGTGAGGATAGATGTTAATGGGTGAGGATAGATGTTGATGGGTGAGGAGGGATGTTGATGGGTAAGGATATTTGTTGATGGGTGAGGATGGATGTTAATGGGTGAGGATAGATGCTGATGGGTGAGGATGGATGTTGATGGGTGAGGATAGATGTTGATGGGTGAGGAGGGATGTTAATGGGTGAGGATATATGTTGATGGGTGAGGATAGATGTTGATGGGTGAGGATAGATGTTGATGGGTGAGGATAGATGTTTATGGGTGAGGAGAGATGTTGATGGGTGAGGATAGATGTTGATGGGTGAGGAGGGATGTTGATGGGTGAGGATAGATGTTGATGGGTGAGGATAGATGTTAATGGGTGAGGGTGGATGTTGATGGGTGAGGATAGATGTTAATGGGTGAGGGTGGATGTTGATGGGTGAGGATAGATGTTGATGGGTGAGGATGGATGTTAATGGGTGAGGATAGATTTCTATGGGTGAGGATAGATGTTGATGGGTGAGGATAGATGTTGATGGGTGAGGATGGATGTTGATGGGTGAGGGTAGATTGCTATGGGGGAGGATAGATATTGATGGGTGAGGATAGATGTTGATGGGTGAGGACAGATGTTGATGGGTGAGGATGGATGTTGATGGGTGAGGGTAGATTGCTATGGGGGAGGATAGATATTGATGGGTGAGGATAGATGTTGATGGGTGAGGACAGATGTTGATGGGTGAGGATAGATGTTGATGGGTGAGGATAGATGTTAATGGCAGAGGATAGATGTTGATGGGTGATGATAGATGTTGATGGGGGAGGATAGATGTCGATGGGTGAGGAGGGATGTCGATGGGTGAGGTTGGATGTTAATGAATGAGGATGGATGTTGATGGGTGAGGATAGATAAGGATGGGTGAGGAGGGATGTTAATGGGTGGGGATATATGTTGATGGGTGAGGATGGATGTTAATGGGTGAGGATAGATGTTAATGGGTGAGGATAGATGCTGATGGGTGAGGAGGGATGTTAATGGGCAAGGATAGATTTCTATGGGTGAGGATAGATGTTGATGGGTGAGGAGGGATGTTGATGGGTGAGGATAGATGTTGATGGGTGAGGATAGATGTTGATGGGTGAGGATAGATGTTGATGGGTGAGGATGGATGTTGATGGGTGAGGATAGATTGCTATGGGTGAGGATAGATATTGATGGGTGAGGATAGATGTTGATGGGTGAGGACAGATGTTGATGGGTGAGGATGGATGTTGATGGGTGAGGATAGATTGCTATGGGTGAGGATAGATGTTGATGGGTGAGGATAGATGTTGATGGGTGAGGACAGATGTTGATGGGTGAGGATAGATGTTGATGGGTGAGGATAGATGTTGATGGGTGAGGATAGATGTTGATGGGTGAGGATAGATGTTGATGGGTGAGGACAGATGTTCCCATTTAGCGGCTCTGAGGTGAACAGAGGGGGAAGCCTTTACTCTGAGCGCCCGGCAGCTGGTAGGAAGAGAGCGAGGAGAGGCCGAAAGGGGGCGAGGAAAGGAGACGAGGACGCCCCTCCGCCTGTTTGGATCGCAGCCTGCTCCGCTCCTTCCAATCCGTTCACCTCCATTCACAGTAAATACAAGCATGGAGGCTTGACTGTCGGGATCTAACGTCGAGCAGCGGGGGGTAGAGACACTGCCGCATGCGCCACGGGGAGCAGACGGGACGTAATCATCTGTTACTGGGTGATTTTGGTGTTCGCTGGGAGCATGAAGCGGATGGCCGCGGTGGCCAGGCACAATGGCCTCGTCTCTCCTTTGGGGAACAACAACTCCGGGGCTTCGAGCATCGTCTCCCCTCCCACAGCCAGAGCCACCAGCGCCTCCGCCTGCTCCGACACTCCGGCCGCGGGGGGCCCGGACGGCCTGCTGGATTTCTCTAAAGGCCCCGCCGTGAAAACCGAGCTGGTGTGCAGATGGACCGAGCGAACTTCTTCGAAGCAGAGGCTCGGGCGGACGGCGACATCCGTCTGCGAGCAAACTTTCAGCTCCATGCCGGAGCTCGTGGACCACGTCACCAGCGAGCACGTAGCGGCGGGGCTGGAGAGCCTCAGTCATGTCTGCATGTGGGACGAGTGTCTGCGCGGCGGGAAGGCGTTCAAAGCCAAATACAAACTCATCAACCACATCCGCGTGCACACCGGGGAGAAGCCCTTCTCGTGCGCGTTTCCCAACTGCGGCAAGATGTTCGCGCGCTCCGAGAACCTCAAGATCCACACGCGCACGCACACGGGTAGGCTGTGCTGGTGGGCTGTTCAGCTGGGGGGTTTAAATCCGTGTCATCCCTTCACACACAATGAGAGCTGCCTGCAGGGATCCCCCTCCATCTTCTCCATGTCCCCTTTCTGCAAACAGCCCACTTCCCCGCCTCCTTGTTTCCTTACTGGAGCCCAGAGCAGGTTAAAGCAGGGTTTCCTAACCCTGGCCCTCAGGGGCCACTGTCTTCTGCTGAAACACACCTGATGCAGATGGTTGCATTGCCTCCTCTGCAGCCATCAGAGCCTGTTAATCATCTTTTTCATCCAGTTCAGGTGTGTGGAGGCAGGGGTACACCTAAAACAATGAGGACGGTGGGCCCTGAGGACCAGGGTTAAGGAAAGGCTTGATTCGAGCGGGCCCTCTGGTCTGAGGCTCTCCATCATTACTGAGCCATAACCGGTTTAGAATGGGATGTCTTGATGTGGAGACGACATCATTACAGCTTCAAATGGCTTTTCTATGATTTGTTAAAAGCTGCAGGTGTTGGGGCTCCTTCTCTCCTTGTGTGTGTTGCTATGGGGTAAGATAACTGTCTGAATTTGTAAACGTTAGCAAACATAAACAAATGTAAGGTTTGTATTTATCCCTCGTTACTCATATGTGACATCAGGTGTTTCAAGTTAGAACCTTTTTAGAAATACAGTCACTAATGTAGGAGTCCTAATATATAACCCTCACGATGCTGTTCCACTCCTTACCAGCTGGTGGCAGGAACGCACCTCCAACCACTTTTCAATGAGAAGAAAACCTGATCCGTCCTGGAAGCACGATCCGTCCTGCGCATGCACGAACAGATATACTTCCGAGTGTCCGTAAATGATGTAATTATGGTACTAAAACTACTTATTTCTACCCATAACTCACTAAGGAATGCTAATATACATATTTAATTAGTTTTGTGAGACCATTTTGATGATTTTTACGGGGGTTTTTTTTCGTTAAACTGCTTCTCCGACGTCATCAGACATGCCCAGAGCAGTCTGACAAAATATGGTTAAACCATGTTTATCTGCATTTTAGCTGTTTCTTCCTGTAGATTACGCACTATATAGCATAAGGTTACAACAAAATAAAAACATAAAATTCAAAAACACTAGATTTATGTTTAAATCCAGAGCCGAAAATGTTAGCTCCTGGAAGTAGGATCCCATTTCTGGTGCAGATCGGGCTCAGAGTGATCAAACAGAAAGGCATTTATTTTCTCAGGAAATACATTATTCATTAATATTTAACATATTTTATTTTTATACACTTACTATTTTTGTAGAGGGAAAAACTTCCTTTACGTCTTTTTAAGAAAATAAAATTGAGGGCGACCCGGATGTATATCTGGATGCCCAAATGAGCTGATTCTGCATGCACAGGACGGATGGTGCTTCAGGAACGGATCGGGTCTTTCTGTCTATGGTTTTGTTTATATCTTCCTTAAGGTCAGTTGGCACAACAACAACTTTAGCATCCGTCATCGCCACCACCTGGTGCGGAGCATGACGGCTTCAGCAGGGCTTGTAAATTAGTTCCCGTAAATTTGTGGTCGTACTTGTATTTTTTCAAAGTTCTAACTTTAAAGTGAGCAGTGGCGGTTCTAGACCAAATGTACCAGGGGGCCAGGAGGGGGCCAGTGTGTTTCCATGGGGGCCCAGAAAAGCATGAAATAAAAAAACAGGGCAAGGGATTAGAATATGTTAAAGAGAGCTGCATGGAGTGAGATTTCTATTCAATTAGGTTTAATTAAAATTCAATGTCTTATTAGGTCAATATACATTCATAATTTAGGAATTTTACATATTTTTTGACTTATTGAAGTTAAAATAAATTAGAACTAAAGAAGTCACAATAAATTGTGACTTTTTTCATTTCAATAATAATGAACACAGTCAGATAAACACAGATCAAATTAACATTTTTCCAAATAAAACAAAAAAATTGCCATCTGACCCCGCAGTACTCCACACATGGCTATGCTGAGAGAGGGCTGCTGCAGACGGGCTAACGTTAGCCCTGGCTGCTGCAGACGGGCTAATGTTGGCCCTGGCTGCTGCAGACGGGCTAATCTTAGCCCTGGATGCTGTAGACATGCTAACGTTAGCCCTGGCTGCTGCAGACGGGCTAATCTTAGCCCTGGATGCTGTAGACATGCTAACGTTAGCCCTGGCTGCTGCAGACGGGCTAACGTTAGCCCTGGCTGCTGCAGACAGGCTAATGTTGGCCCTGGCTGCTGCAGACGGGCTAATCTTAGCCCTGGCTGCTGCAGATGGGCTAGGATTAGCCATGGCTCCTGCAGACATGCTAACGTTAGCCCTGGCTGCTGCAGATGGGCTAGGATTATACCTGGATGCTGCAGACATGCTAATGTTAGCCCTGGCTGCTGCAGATGGGCTAGGATTAGCCATGGCTCCTGCAGACATGCTAACGATAGCCCTGGCTGCTGCAGATGGGCTAGGATTAGCCATGGCTCCTGCAGACATGCTAACGTTAGCCCTGGCTGCTGCAGATGGGCTAGGATTATACCTGGATGCTGCAGACATGCTAATGTTAGCCCTGGCTGCTGCAGATGGGCTAGGATTAGCCATGGCTCCTGCAGACATGCTAACGATAGCCCTGGCTGCTGCAGATGGGCTAGGATTAGCCATGGCTCCTGCAGACATGCTAACGTTAGCCCTGGCTGCGGCAGGCATGCTAACGTTAGCCCTGGCTGCTGCAGATGGGCTAGGATTAGCCCTGGATGCTGCAGACATGCTAACGTTAGCCCTGGCTGCTGCAGATGGGCTAGGATTAGCCATGGCTCCTGCAGACATGCTAACGTAAGCCCTGGCTGCGGCAGGCATGCTAACGTTAGCCCTGGCTGCTGCAGACGGTCTAACTTTAGTTGGAATCTGGGAAAAGTAACGCAGAGAAGAAACAGTTTCTCAGCTCCACCACAGAGCTACTAGCCTCGCCTCTCTTCATGGCGTTACTCTGGTGCAGATCCCTTTATGGTGACGTTAGGATAATTAACAAAAGTATATCTTTATATATGTTGGACCCATCAAAATGTATGAAACAATTAGTTACACACACAATATATATATATATTTTTTAACTTTTTTTCTGCTTCACTATAGATGTTTTATGGATGTATTATTTAAGAAAAAATAATCTTTTTTTTTTTATTCTAAAGCTATGAGCTTTTAACCCTGACATTTAAAAACTATTGCAGAGCCTCAGACGCTGAGCAGAGCAAATTAACTGAAACAGAACTTCCTCTACAGCAAGTGCTTAGAGTGTACATATCCTTAACACTTGATTACAGTCGCTTTTATTTAATTAAAGCGACTGTAAAGCTGTTAAATTTGTCGTAAGTTTCCATTTCTACACCAGAACAAGCTTGAAATCTTGTTTAAAAGTTCTGCATCTTTTTTCCCTGATTCCAGGAAGAGAAGCTCAGATGCTAATCGTGTTCATCACAAGTTTGAAATGTCTAGAACCTTCGTTTCTGATCCGCTTGATGATTACAGCTCACTGACAAAGAAAAGCAACGTTCAGAAACCCTAACTGATCAATAACAAACCATATGTTAAGCAGAAATGTCAGGTTTCAGAAAAGGGGCCTGCTGAGGTCCAAAGAAGCCCAAGTTGCCTTGGTAACACCCTCCAGGTTGTCTGCAGTGTTGGTTCTGGTGCCCCTCATCTTCTTCTTGGCTCTGAGGTTCTGGTCTGGCCTGTTTGCTGGTCAGTCAAGCACACCAGCACCACAGTCTTTGGAACGTCTATTAGTAGCTTTATGGACCAGTACCCGGTCCTGCTGGGAGGTCAACGCAACACAGCGGATATTGCGGTTCCTCTTTTCTCTTCCAGCACCAGTCAGTGGATAAGCTGCCTTTTTCCTTCTACTGAACTTTCTCTGGACATGCAGCTCTCTGTGATCACTCTGTCTTCCTCTCCTGCTTGACGTGTCTGTGAGCGGTCTTCACCATAAGGAGGGCGTCTTCCGTTGAGACCAGTGAAACCAGTTAGAGCCGATTGCTGATCAAGCGACTCAGTTTTTAACTTTCTCACTGAGACAATGGACTTTAGGTTTTTATCATCTTTTAGTGGTGATGGAAATATTTGATTTTTATAGATTTTCACTTCCTGAAAACAAAAATATAATCTTATTCTGACTGACAGAGCAACAGTTTCTGTGGTTACAGAGTTCAATAAAGAGAGTATTGATAACTTTGATGGGTCTGCTGTGAGGAGGATAAAGATGATGATGGTTGGGCCAAAGGATGAAGCTTCTATCTTTAAACATCATCTAGTTGTGGTCTGGGTTCCTGCAGGTCTGGTTCTATTAAGTTATTTTCTTGGTTTAGTCTTTTTTAATTCATATTCTGTGATGAAACGAACAAAGTAGCTCATGATTTTGGAGGAGAGCTGAACTGGATCCTTCTTCTGGGAGGAGTTTTAATCTGGGTTAAGTTTCAGAAGGATCTCCAAAGCTTTGAATATCATCTGAACATGGAGAGAGGATGGGCCACCTGCTGACCTACATGGAAGTCCAGCTAGAGGAGGGCACTGATCAGAGAGGCAGCCAAGATAGAGAACTGAGAAGGAGCTGCAGAGGTCCACTGCTCAGGAAGGAGACTTGGGGCCAATACTATTATGTACCCTATATTGCTAAAATGGAAGCGTTACAGCGTAACACAAGTCAAGTAGCATACGTGAATTTGGGGAAAAACAACCCTGATTATTCCATAGGGGGCAGGAACACGAGAGGGAGACCACAACAGAGGTGGGGCCACGAGGGAAAGGGAACAGAAGAGAGAGGGAACACAACAGAGGGGGGAAGACGAGGGAAAGAGAACATGAGGAAGAGGGAAGACGAGAGAGTGGAACACAAGGGAAAAGAAACACAAGGAATGGGAAGACAGATGGAACCATATCAAGAACCATCATGCAACAAAACCAGCAGTTTCAGATCCAAACAATCTGACAGTTGGAGTAGGTCAAATGCTGATTTTGTTGACTTTGGTCCAATGACATTTAATTGGTCTGAAACAGAGGAAAATACATCTGTAAGGGTGCAAAACACAAATTGTGTTCATGGCAATATCTTTAGTAAAAAAGCTATTGTTCCTTTATCACTGTGTAGACATAACATGCATGTTTTCTAAATACATGGGTCAGTTCCTGTTTCTGAAACAGACATGTTTGTGGGCTGATGTAGGAAGCAGAGAGAACATGCAGCCCTACATATAAAGATAAGTTAGACTGTAGCTAGAATCTGTTCTAACAGTGATTGTCATGTTTGTTTTGCAGGGGAGAAGCCATTTCAGTGTGAGTTCTGTGAACGGCGCTTTGCTAATAGCAGCGACAGGAAGAAGCACTCGCAGGTCCACACGGCTTCGAAGCCCTACGACTGCAAGGCGCTGGGCTGCACCAAGTCCTATACCCACCCCAGTTCCCTCCGCAAACACATGAAGATCCACGTCAAGTCGTCGCCTACCTCCGATCACCAAGACTTGTACAGCTTTGGCCACCATCAGCTCCAGCAACCTGTCCTGGAGCCTCTGGATCTTAAAATGAACCACTTCTCCTCCCCCCTTGCTAACGGAAGTGCTCCTTTTCCCCTGCTGGCCGCTCATGAATTAGATCTGGGCTCTGGCAACCAAGTGAGTAGTAAAGTGTTCCTGCGGAGTTCCTCCCCAGTGGCAATGCCCCTGGATCTGTCTTTTTCTGGCCTTAAGAGTCAGCTAAGCCAGAAGCAGCAGAACTCCAGGACCCCGAGGCGGAGCCAGCGCTCGGTCAACCCGGCCTTAACTCAGCTTTCAAACATTAAGGAGTGGTATGTCTGTACAAGGACTACAGCGCCGCATTACCCACTGCTTCATCCTGACCACATCAAAACAGAACGCAGGGACGAGGACGAGTATGTGACGTAAGGTGGAAGAGCCGCTTCTCTGAGGCCGAGAACAGACAGTGGTTTCACTAGGGACTCACCTCTGGGCATCGGTGACAGATGGAGTGTCTCAAACGGAAAGCTCATTTGATTCTGAAACCAGTTTTATTACCAGCTCAGTGGTTTTGTTCAATCCAGTGTTCCCGAGGACGATGAAGCTAGAACTAAACCAACAGGGTGTATGAACTTTCTAATCAGTCTAAGGGCTGACGTAAGGGAAGCGAATGCAAGGGCTAAAGCAACGGCAGTGTAAAGGGCAAACGGGAGGCTCAGCAGATCCAAACAGGGGGCGGGCTTCACTGGTTTCTAAACAATCATCATCTGATCCTGCTGCCAGCGGGGCAGAAGATGGAGCACTTTGTTGGAATTTAGCTGAGGCCTTTATTTAGAAAGAAAGAGCAGAAACCGGGTCAAGGTGTTAACTGTGATGGTGCCTGATTCTGAAGAACCTCATTATGGGGTTTGTCTGGACTTTAAGTAGGTTCATCCTTTGAGTGGTGAAAGAAAGCCAACAGCCTCACCAGCCAATGTGGCAATCGGCCTAGTAGGGGTTCATTGGGATAGTTTATAAACACGAGTCCCGGAAAACGATGGGCCATCTCTGATCAAGTCCAGGACATGGTAGGGCTAAAACAGACTGGTGGGCGACAGAGAATCAGAAGGTTTGTTTCAGCTGACAGCGACGGTAAAACGCTTAGAAACGGCGACGCTGTTTGGCCTGACATAACCCCACTAAACGTTTTATAGTCTGTTAGGATCCACTGACCTCATGTTCTGTGTGTTTCCAATAATAACACAATTTTTAAACATTTTCCACACTACAACAGAGTATTCAAGGGCATAAAAAAAGTTTAAACTTCGGAGCCTAACGTATATGTTTGGGGTTAGCAAAGAGACAAGTAAAAAAAACATGTTTTTGTCTAAAGTAATTGCAATTTTTTTCTTTTGGCTAACTCTGTTTGACACTAACGTGGTTTTCTGTCTCACTTATGTTAGCCTCTGTCCCACTGATGATCAACATTTCCAGTTTGAGTAGTTTTAAATGGCTTAAGTCAGCTAACCACCTGTTAACCTTTCACCACTCTCTTGATGTTTTTTCTACAAGCTCCATACATCTGTCTAAAAAAAGATCGATTCTACTGACAATAACCTCAATGAATCCAAAGTGACCGTTTAAGCTTCTCCAGATCCAATCAGTAGCTCCGTTTCCTGTGAGGATTCTCAAAATTCCCACAAACTGAACTCACAGATGTCCAAAGCTGACTTCTCATGAAGGGGTTTGGTCAGAGAGAAAAGAAAATTATGGAATCACTCAATATTGTGGAGGGAAATATAGAATCATCCTTTATATTTGCAGCGGTCTTATTCCTGGTAGATAAGGAGGCCATTTCTGCTTCAACAAGGTGAATCTTCACCAGTGCTGCAGAAGATGATGGCTGTTTCCAGTTTTTTTGGTTCAAAATTTGGAACAAAAATAAGACAGGGGCGAAATTAAATAGAACTCAAAACAATATGCCTTGGATATTATGTTATTTACAACCAAGAAAAAAAACGGTCAAAGGACTAGAAACAAAAAAATTACCTGAAGGTAAAGTTACTTAAGGCCAATTTATCCTTCTGACACATACCCTTTGCAACTGTCAACTCTGTGCGAACACGCCCCCCGCACAGAAGTCCTGCAACCGTCGTCGCCTACCTAAAAAAAATCGTGACTACGCGTCGGACGGTCGTAAACCCGGGCAGACCTCTGGCGGAAGTGCACAGAAAAAAAGCAGCTGTGATTGGTCCTTGGTATGCCTTTCTGGCTGTCTGTGTGGTCGTCCTTCTCGATTCGGTGCCGGGGCGCGCCATTTTTAAAAACTGAGGAACAACTACAATGGACAACTATGACAAAAGGTTAATCGGTCTTTTTGCCAACTCCATTAACGGAAGCTGTTCCTCTTCGATGTCTAGCAACTCCGTGACTGTGATATCTTGCAGACGTGCCATTGTTGTTTTGGAAGATAAACACTCCCGCTGGCGCCGCCGAAGTTCTTGTGAACATCCGCTGAAGTTCTTGCGAGTTCACAAATAGGCTACCCCTTCGCTTTGGAGGGGAAACTGCTATGCATCCGTAGGAATTCCAGACCGACGGTGCAGAAGCAAACCAGCAAAACTGGTTCTCGACCAGACCCAAGCGACATTTGATGTGTCCGGCTGCAGATTTATAATCTGCCCTTTAAAGAGAAAGGCATTCTTAGCTCACCTAACACCTTCAGGCTGAGATCTAGACTGGTTTTCTACTTGCTACCATCTGAAGATTGAGTTGACCCATCTAATCAGCCTTGGGAGCTTTGCTCCTTTATCCAAATGGTTCCCTCAGGAACCTCCTAAGGTTAGTCCTTTTCTTTACTGGTTCTGAGCATTCATAATTCACAAATCAGGCTGGCTATGTGGGAGACAAGCCAAGCTAGCTTCAGCCATGGAGCATTCAGAAGGCTGGATAGAAAGCTTTATGGAGAAAACTGGTTCTGTTTAAATACTGCCAATTGGGAAGGATCTTTAAGCCCAAGTGGAAGTGAGTCAGTTGTCTTCATGGTTAGGTCTGGATATAGCTGGCAGTATCCAGACCTTCCTGTCATAGTTAATTTATTATAGGGAACTCGTTGCATTTCTACGAGTTTCTGGTGCATTTCTGGTGCTAAATATCTAGACAGATTCACACAGTCTTTTGTGTGACAGGACGTTAATGGGACGTTTTTTTTCTGAAGGCTGTTCCAATTTGACTACCGTGATCTATGTACATTTTTGTTCCATAATGACGTCCATGAGGTATTCAGCACAGCAGTCCAGAGCGAGAGAGTTCTAACTGTTGACCCAATGAAAGGTGAAGGAACAGGATTTGGGAGTTACAGTTTGCAGCACTTGGATAGACCCTGTAGGTAATTTCTTTATCAAAGGGTCAACATTTGGGTTTTGGGTGATAAACCCATTGGTGGAAGGTGCCCCTCAGGGTCACTGCTGCCTAAGTTCAGTATTCTGCTTTTAGACATAGCCAAGGCAGAACCCTTACTGAGCACTATGATGGGAACGTTGTTTCTGGTGATCCCAAGTTGGCTGAACTTAACAGCAGTAAACTGTTCTGGTGTTTCAGACTACCTCTCTTGGTGTCTCAGAGGCATAACTGCTGTTGGTCGTGCTCAACCCCCCATGTCGCCTCTGTTGTTTCAGAAAACACAAAGGCTGTTCCTAAATGCATCAACTTAAATACCTCTACCTCCTGTTCCATTACCTTTAATGGGGTCAGTAAGAACTCTATCCAGGGAAGGAACCGATCTGCTTTTAACCTTCTAGTCATTATCATGTGATAGAAAGACACGTTTTGCTAGTCAGATAAGGACCACAGCCCGCTTTGGCTATAGAACCTTACCCATGTGCTGAAATGGGATCGAGCCATTGGCACAGCAAAAAGGTGTCCAGATCTTTGCTTTGGCGTTATAAAGACTGTCCAATCGTAGACCAATCTAAACGGAGCATTCGATTTTTTTCCTTCAGAGAACAAAGCTGCCAGAATAACAACTCTTGATATATTGAGGGATTCCATAATTTCTCCTCCGCTTGATTTACAGAAAAAATAATTTCCACTGGGTTCTGTTGGGTCAAAGCTTGAGGCTAATACCTGGAGTGTTGGTCCAAAGATGGTCCAGGGTTCATATTACAAACAGAGGGGTTTGTTCTGATCAGAGTCCAGGTCCGACCCAACATATTGAGACTAACACTTGGATGATACTCCCAAACAAAACTGGGTCGTGGCCATGTGCTGCACCCATCGCAGTGTTCCCCTCGGATGTTGGTCAGGCACTCCTAAAATGCTGCAGCTTAGACGGTATAGTGTTGTTCTGTCTGGGTGAAACCTGTTGCTGATCGGACCGCTCTCACATGAGAAAGCAAATAAAGACAATTCCTTGGACGTAAAGCAGTTTTACCCTGTTGCTGACGAATGTTTTTATAAACACTTGTCTTCTTTTCTGTTACTGTCTTCTATATTTTTAAATTTCTCCTTGGATTAAGCCTTTTATGCATTTTTTATGGACAGCAGATCCAGTAGGACAGGTTTGGCCAGAATAACCTGTTTCCTGTACACCCTGATGGACCTTGTCGGCCCTTAACCTGAGTGTCAGGTTGTCGGCAGCTCTTTCTGGACATGGACGAAGGTAACAGACATAAATGAAACGAAGACGGCTCGTGGTGATGCTTTTCTTTGTTGGTCATTCTGTGTTCTTTGTTATCATTCTCAGCACATTCACTTTTAAATAAATTCAAGCATAAAACATTCATGTCCAAAGTTCTTTCTTGATTGATCATGATTCATTGCTTACTGTAATAAATTATGCAGAAAGTTGGAACTATGGCAATGCCTATCTATGGAATTCCTTTACTGAAAAACAAAATGTTTCAATATATTTTATCTTTTACTCTACATTTGGCTGCCTTCGATTTTAGCCGCTGCTTCCTCTAAGGACCCGGTCTACCTGGACTATGTCCTTCTAATGCCGTGAAAATAAGGAGGCCAGAATAGTTTGGCTATGGATTCAAACAGGTCCAGCCTTCTCAGTCAGCCTACGCTCTGTTGCACCGCAATCATGACAGTTGACTCACAAAGCAGGCAAAGAATGGATGCCGAACTTCTCACTACTGTTCTGGATGCTAATAACATTCTTGAGGAGCTTCAGCAGCAGTACCGTCGTCATGAATATCAGATTTATAGTCCCCACCCTGCAGAGATATCGGAATCTGAGACTAAATGTCAGCTAAACCCATTTACACAGGGACAGATAAAATCGTTCAATAAACCAAACACAACCAGCCACACATCTGACTTGTAAATCATTAAAACGACAATTTTTATTAATTTCAGACTGAAGTATTCACGGACTTGGATTATATTAAACTGCTCTTCCAATATTCACCATTATTTGGCGCAATTTCCCTTTTTCCTCCGAGCACAGATCAGCCAGCTTGCTTGGACTTTTAATGAATCCTGGGATATAATATGAAGGGATATTAGGAAAAGAAACAGCATAGAAATTAGTTAAAGGGCTTTGGGGATGGAGATCACAGATAAAACTCCATTTATATAAAAGATAATAATGAAATAGAAAGACACAAAAAGATGGGATAAAATAAAAGGAAAATAGAAGGACATGATTGAGGGCAGGTCAGAGTTCATAAATTATTTTTTATCAGAGAATTGAGATCGAGATAGAGATTAATAAAGTTTTTTATTATTATTATTATGGAGCCAAAAGAGAGGAAATAAAGAAGGAAGATGAGGAACTTATTTAAAAAAAATGATGTTTTTATTTTGCACAGCAGAAAAATCCATCACAGCAGGAGGAGGCTGTGGCCACACAGATGTGTACACTAGGTGGCGGTATTGCGCTGTTAGAGATGTGAACAGCTTCAGTTCCAGAAGGGGGCAGTAGTGCGCTCTGCTGGAGCCCGAAGAGGAAGAAGAAGCAGGAAGAATCTGGGCAAAAGACCAAGAATGGAGTCTTAAAGAAATATTGGGAATTGAAGGAAATATAAATGATATCCACAGATTAAGGAAATAATTATTTATATATCGTGAGAATACAAAAATAAAAAATAGATTTTGATAGATGTAAAGTAATGTTGCTACACCCTCATGTACAGTAGGTGGCGGTATGCAGTTGCTTGCGATCCGCCATAATAGAAAAGAAGAAGAAGACGAAGGAATCTGGGCAAGATGGCGGCGTACAGGCAGGCCGTGTTAGTGGACAGGCTGCTGTTTACTCTGAAGGTGAGTCTCCCTCCCG